CTCATCTCTCTGCAGGTGGCTCCTTCTCTTGCCAGGTCTTTCCCCTCTGCACCCTCCCTGAAACAGCAATCCACTCTCCTTCCATCAAAGCTGCTGTGAAATATTGGAAACAGCCATAGCCATATGATTATTTGGAGCGATCCTTACAAATGCCCTTTTTATTTCGGAACTGGTAGAAGGGGGTCAACTAATGAAATTGGACTTCATTTACTTCCTTGAATTTGGGAGATAAAGAACCTGAACCAATTATCCAAATTCATCATGATCAATAATTTATTGATGCACAGCTGATTCATTAGATTTAAGGCACTTTTGGAGATATATTGATTATTACAGCTCTTCACTATCTAATGACAGTGTTCATTAGATGGCCTGTTTCCAGCTCCTCTTCTCTGTCCCACTAACTGGTACTGATTTCAAATGTATCCTATTCCGGCTAGAAAGTTTTCTCAAAAAGCATCCCCCTGAAAAGTCTCAGATTATAATTGCACAGCAGCATGACCTGCAGCTACTGGAGTTGTTTAGAATGGAACTCCATGACCCTTTTCTGTCTCACTTCAATCCATCCACATTGTTGCCAGTGTAAGTATGTATCTTCGACTCAGTTTCAAGCTTGGCGTGATTATCTCCTTAGAATGGTGCCTGTGACATACCTGACATCCATTCTGCTTGTATTCATAAAAACATATTAAATGTCATCTTTTTTCAAAGTTTTCCCTCTTTAGTTAGACATTTTTGACTATTTCCACTTCTCCATTTATAATTCACTTAGTGCTATATGTGTAGTCTTTTTCTTAAAAAGTTACAAATTTTATTGATGTGCTGAGTTTTCTTATTCTTTTCACTAATCCTTAGTTTCGCTGTACTTTTTTCAACCATAAGTTGACAGAATTAAAAATGTTGTGGTCGACCATGAAGAAGTACAAAATAAAAAATAGGCTATAGTGTTACATTAAAAGAGTTGATCCTGTGGAAGTTTAATTCCCCATGCTTGTCAAAAGTTGTTAAAACATTGCTTGCCTTCTTTGAATATAAAATGTGGGCAGACATGTACTAATATATCAAAAAATGACACTTTGTCAAAGAGGGCTTTCATGGGAGAATGCTCTGAATAAAATGGTTTTTTTTTTAACCCAACCTGTTTAACATTCCAAAGCAAACACAAAAGAACACAAAATGCCTGAACTCACTGCCAGTCACAACTGTCAGTTTCATTTACCATTTATTACTATTTTTTGTATTCCAAAAATGTTTCCTCAAAAGAATTATCAGTTTTATTCCATGATAACCCTGGTTTGAAGTAAAATAAAAGTAACTCTGACCCTATTCAGAATGGATTCTTTTCAGTCGTACCAGCACTTCTAATAGCATGATGATGTCGTGCTTGGCTGTGTCTACCACAGACTCAATGCAATTATATGTGAAGCAACATTTCCCTTATCTGTTAGGAACACTTGCTGCAGCTAACTGCATTTCACTGTTTGCAGATGAAATACCAAATTAAAATCTCAAACTAGTTTCTCAAGAAGTTTTTTTCCCTAATAATTTTTAAATCGTCTGGCCTAGAGGAAGACAGTAGCCTGAATAGAATGGAAAAACAGGCAGTATTTAAAGGCCTTAGCAAGATTAACCAAGCAGATGTATCTGTATGTCACCTTTGCTTGTTCCTCAAACAATTGTTTCTCCTTAGGATTGCTCTCTGATGATTCTGACACTTTGGGTCTTCTGAGGATGTCCAGACTTCAATGACTGAAACTGAAATGTTAAAGATCAATGGATGATTGACTGTGATCACAATCTAATATCGCTTTATCTAAGTAGAAGAGGTATTATTTGCATGTATCCATGTTCTTTGCAGAGAATTCATCCAGGTCCATCTTCTAGATGGGAATCAGGGAAAACAATCACAGGAAATAGAAGAAGATGGCAGTTAATATATAGATTAAAAGCATGTCTCACAGTAGTGGTAGTGTGAGCAGAAATGTCCTGCACAACTTGACTTGATGTATAAGCTCAGCCTTCTTTTATCATCTGCTCTCAGCTAAAATGCCTGAGGGCTGTTGGTGAGAGTAGTGCAAATGTCCTAGCTAATTTCAGAGACTAGTGATACCTCTACCATTTGATCATTATGAGAGCCTGGACTAGTGCCTTTGCCTCCCAATGCTTGATTTCATCCATCTGTAAAATGGGGCTAAAACCACTTCATCAGGCATTTAGTTCAGTGTCTAATACTACCTAAGGGGTAGCAATCATAACTGATAGACAAGACATGCATGGCTTAGCAGATTTTCCCACCAATCCTCCTGGAGGTTGGAGGATATTCATGAATGTTGTCACTCACTGTAGCAGGAAGTTCCTTACAGATAGCTACTCAACTGTTTGAAAATATCCTGGTATTCTATGGTTCATTTCTCTCCCACCCCTCACTTGGTTACTATGTGTACAGACCATCCATTTGTTTAAACACGAGAGAAAATGAGAACCTTTCCCTGAAATACTTTTTGATTACATTTATTGAACTCCTTCAGGAAATTTTATTACACTGATCATTACATACACATGAATCATCCGCTAAAATAGGAGTTTCTCTTGACTGTATTAAGGTCAAAATTAATTTCTAAAACTTAGATCCCTTTAAAGTTTAAGCAATCATTCCCTTACTATGGACTATTATTGCTTGGAAGGCTAAAGCATATATCTTTTGTGCAAAGGAAATGTCAAGGATGTATCAATATTTGACTCTATTGCACATTTGCTATGCCAGAGGCCCAGCAGTGGTACTTAATGTAAACAATTCTTCATGAGTCCACTACCGAAAGAAACAAAAGGTGCAAATTGATCCTGATATATTTTAATGTTAGAATTTTGCAGCAGTGTTTGAGCTAATTTATAATTAATTTCAAAATGCATGAGGCACTAGCATTTTTTAACTAATCATGTTTAAATTAAATGTAAGCATTTAAAGCAAGCATTTTAATTAAATACAAAGCTTAGGCAACTAATCATTAAAAGTGGCATTGGTAACTTGAGATTTATCATCCTGAACTCACACTGTACCACATTTCTAATGACTTTTTTCTTCTACTTAAATGGAAGCTAAATATGTGTCCAAATGTAGCAGCTAGTAAAATATAAACTTTTCTTGGGTCATGGCTGCCAATCTGATATTGAACCAGAGCAAACAAATCTGTTTTACAGCAGTTTTTTTTTTAATATCCAAAACTGTATTTACTAAATTTAAATTAGTTTTCAACTTACTTACAGTTCAGCTCTGGAAAAATCCAAGAAGAACTCCAGCTCAAATACCTTTTATTACCTCAAAGAAAATATTATGTAAAAAAGAAAAATTTTGTGTTTTAGGTAGAAGATTCTAAGGAAGAAAGACCAAGTAATTTTGTGATTTAATTTTTTAAATTTTTATAGCTTTAAGAATAATAAGGAATAACACTAAAAAATGTTAATTTTATAAACTAGAAATGCTAGGATATTCTAAACATTCTAATAATATATAAATGAATTTGAATGTATGGTTTTTATCAACTGGTTAACATAATACAATGCAACTTCATCTAACAAAGTGACAATAAATGTTTTCAAATTAATTAAGTGTATTGATAAATACACTTAAAGCTATATAAATACACTTAGCTGATAAAGTTAATAAAGTATGAATGAACTTTATTGTTAAAATTATGTGTTATTTCTGTTTTAATCTGATCAGAATAGTTCATAAAATGAAATTCATTGATTCATAGCTTTGAAGACAGTGTGTTTTTTATTATCTGTTGCTTTCCTATGTTTTGGAATTAGTGCAAATATTCAGAATCTAAGAGAATAATGCCTCTGCTGAGTGAGAGAGGGTGATTGATAGGCAAGTTAGCATGTTTTATTCCTTTAACTAAATACATACAATTAGTGATTGTCACATTTTTCTTGTGTAAAAACTAAACTAATTGGAGGTTCTAACCTTAGGGAATGAGTTCTACAGTATAATGAATGTTGAGGACCCTCTTGAGTTTTGCAATTAATTATTCATAATTATAATATTTTTTGTTTATTTGGAAACTTTGAATGTAATTCTCTAATATTTCAGACAAATCAAGAAAAAGGAATAACTGAAACCTTATTTTTTTCCTTTCAAAAATAAAAATGTCAACAGAATTATGATATCCCAAGAAAGTCTCACAAGCAATTAAGGCAGTTTTGTGGCTAAAGTGTGGACACAATGAATTTGGATACAGTTTTTCCTATAAATTTTCTAATACCCGGTGGATAATGTGGAGGATGCAAGGTGAACCGCTGACAAGGACACAAGTAGAAGAATTGCATGTAATTTATAAAAGTATGTTAATCAAAGAAGTGATACAATGGATTAAGTAACTGGCTAGTAGCCAAGTATTATAAATTTAAAGTCATTTTTCTTTTCATGAAAGAGGTGTGTGTATGTTTGCTTGGCACCCCATTTGCACTTATGTACTATGATGCCAAATGAAAGATGGGTTTCTGGGTGATTTTCGACTAGAACAATCTTTTTTTGGTATTGTCATTGAATATATGTTGCTGCTAATGATATATGTATCACTCCAAAAAGTTCATGGAAAACGGAATTTAAAAGTAAGTTTATTTTGATGAAAACCATACAAAGGGCTCTCCCCAAACCCTTGGCATTTAGATCCAAAATGAGGTTCTGTCTTAAGATTATTATGTGTGGTTAACTCCCAATTTAAAATCCCATCTCAGATCAAGGTTAATTAATGGTACAGAAGCAAGTTCTGCTCTTTATCAACAGGCTATTGCTTATTAATTAGATTTTCAATTGTGAACATAACATGGTATCATATATTATACCAAATTATTACAGAGTCCTGTACCAAAAACATAATTAAAACAAAAGTTATTATCATCCACACTTATTCCTACAAGAAATCTTTAGCCACAGCTACTAAGGGGAAGCAAAAACTTTTGTCAAAGTTGAATTATCAAATCACTTGTCTACCATCAGGTGCTCAGAAGAAAGAAGCAAACCAAAAGGACAACTGAGGTGAGGAGAGGCCATGGGATATCCACCAACCAGATAGTCACCGCTGGAATATTTGGGAAGTGTCTAAACGTAGGTATGTTGACTAAAGGTTTCAGCGTGATCTTGGCATTCTCTGAATCTGTCAGTGTTGTACAATTGCTCCTACACCTGCCAGCTCATCTACCCTTTCAAAGCAGCACTTAGCATGACCTGTCAGGTACATACAAACATGCACGTTCTCAAGCCACTCAGCCCGCTTGCCATCCAGCAGGAGGTATTCCCTCCAAGCACTTGGGCATTTAAGGGGATTGAGGGAAGGTGTTGGAGAGGTATCGTTGTGTTCTTAGAGTTTATCTATGAAATACAGAAAGTCTGTTGTGCTTATTAATAAAAATTAAAAATTTAAAAATTTTACACTGCTTCACACTTAGTCATACTGTTCTTATAAAAAAAAAAAAAACAAAGTTGTTACTACAATGGATTCTTACTTTCTGAAGAGAAATCCCCTCTCTTTGCTGTCCCTGAAATTCGAAGTCACTTTCATAATTCATTATTGGATTTAGTTGTTTATCCTCCAAGACCAAAGTCAAGTTCCACCTACATTACAAACTCTTGCTGCTCTCATCAGACACATTGTATTTTGGCTTCCAAAACTCTAGTATTATGACTATTCTGTTGTGGTCTAGGTTTTTTGCCAAATATTATTTTCTATGTTCTTGCTTTTTACTTAAAAAAACATTTTAAGCACAGACACCAACACAGCATAAGCAAGTGGTAAAGTTTATTTAGACTGTGAAGAACACAGATAAATGTGGGCCATGTTCACGGAGAGTTGGCCAGAAAGGGAAAGGATAAGAGAGAAAGATTGCTACCTCATTCCTCAGAGTCCATCCACAGGAAGCAAGAGATCAGTTGGATACAAAGCAGGCAAGGAAAAGAGAGGTCCAGCCCCTCTCCTTCACAGGCTTTTATGCGGGTTTGAGAGGGGTGTGGTTATGCAGCAATCTAACACAGCCTACCCTCAAGTTTCAGGTGATGTAATTAACTCACAAATGGGCAGAAAGGATTACCTAAGCATTGGAGGTGTGACTTCCAAACTCCTGACCTCGAACTAGCTACCTAAGACCAAATCAGTTCTTCTCTGGTATTTGACAAACTTCGTCATGTTGTACTTTCTCTGTTTATCCATGTATTCTATGGTATTAGTTTGACAGCTGCTTGTTTCTAGAATGTAGTGTACTTCTGTACAGCGGAGTCCAATGAGAGAAGAAATAAGGAGTTGCAGCTGTAATGTATTGAGGCAGCACAGGTCGGAAAAGCATGGACTCAGATCCAGTCCGCTTGGGTTTGACTCATGCTTAGCTGATTGCTGGCTGGGTGCTGTAGAAAAAGTTTTTGGTTAAATTTTTCTGTGTTTTAATATCCTTGTTTCTAAACTGGAGATAATTAGAGATAGTTATACCATTCTATTGGATTGTTGTGAAGACTAAGTTGATAACTAAGTTAATAAATATAAAAGGGTTTAGAATGGTGTCTAATACATGTTAAACACTTAAAAATTATTACCTGTTGATTACTATATATACAGGAACATTCCATTTCAACTGTTTTTCTCAGTAATGCTGTAAAGCAGATGGCATCATCCTCATTCTCAAATCGGGAACATAACTGGGTCTAAGAAGTCAAGCTTAAAACTTCAGAGGAGGCGGAATAAAATGAGAGACCTAATCTTGAACCTTGGGTTGCTTCATCCTGTGTTTCAAATCCTATACCTGTGCCAGTATTAGCTGTTACTGGAGAAGGTGAAAGTTAATTTCCTCCATTCCTATAGTTTTAAGATAAATCATGCTGATTTTGATTGGTTTAACCTTTTAAAAATATTTCCACATGAAATGTGTTTGGTTGGCTATAAATTCTCATTTCCATACATAATCCAAATAGGATGCAATCAGTAGATCAATAGCTACCTTTTGCAGGGGTCATCAGGATTGAATGCTGCTATAGAAGTGAAAATTTCACTCAAGGAGTAGGGAAGAAGGTATCAAATAGCCATTTTTATCCTAGGATATTTTATCATCTTGGTAACTCAAGTAATGGAAACAAAGCATATTGGTAAACTCATATGCCTTGGTTCACGGTGTGTTTGGCCTTTCTACCCTCCTTCTCTCCTTCTGTATAATGGTATAGGGTGGTGGAATCAGTATCATTGTCTACAAACTATAACACTTTGAGACTTGATGGAATATGCAATTTGAGAATGAACTATGAATTTTATATGAAATAATTTTTAAAGTTATTTAAAATTCTGTTTGATATTATTTGGGGTAATTTACAAAAATCTACTCATCCCATTAGAATCACCCTATTATCTGAAAATGATACATCTTTTCTTGTTACATGTGAAGTTTCTTGGCTTCTGCTGCTTCATTGGTACATCTGCACCCACTTGATGCTGTGCTACGGTGTAGTGGAAGACTGATGGATTCTTGGTGAAATTAGATTTTACCACCCTACTCATAACCTCAGTAGACTTAAAGGACATACTATAAAGTGAAGCAGCACCAAGAGGGAAGAAACAACACTTAACATTGTTCTGAGTTTTTTGTTTTACACATATCATTCCATTTGATCCTCAAAATAACCCTCGTAAGGAGGTATTGTTACACCCATTTAGAAAGGAGAAAGCTAAGATGCAGTTAACAGGTTAAACTAGCACTGAAACCTAACAAAAATTTGTAACAAATCTAACTTAACTCCAAGTAAACAAGGTGGTAATGAGGAGGGTGCAGTGAGCCCAGCACTCAGATTCACCAGGCAAATACCCTGGCACTAATGCAGGTGACCCCTGCTGTATCACCAAATGCCCTCGTACCCGCTTCCTCATGTCACATTACTATCAGACATTACTAGGAGAGTCAAAATATTTTATTTGTAAATTGCTTTGAAAAGATCACAGGTATTAAAATGTAAGTTATAATTTTGAATCTGGTAAACACACACATACTGAAACAGGGAAGTGTCCAAACAGTTTTAAGTGGGTTTAAATTTCTGGCAAGTGATTTGAAGAAGATGCATGCAAACAAGAGAAAACAAGAACCAAATAGTAGAAGTAGTGCACCTGTGTAGGGATTCTACAAGCAGCTGTAAAAAAACATTGCCCCACATGGTCTAGTTTGCTTTTCAGATCTCAAGTATTGAGCAGCTGTGACCCATGAAATAGGTTGAAAATGACATAATGGCCAGAATCATTACATCTAGGACTGGAGGGAGGACAAAACATCGGAAACCAGTATCTTACAGATGGGCCAGGTGCTTTGTATAAAGGTATTCTTTTGAAACATTAGAGTGATGCAATACTTTTATACTTAAATACATGGCTCTGAAAGGTCACGTGTCACTCCCAGAGTCCCCGAAACACTGTAGGAGCCTCCGGCAGCCTGTGCTTCATGAAACAATCTTCGCGAAGCAATCTCAACTGTTTTTCAAAGGAATTAATGGCACTTCAACTTGTAGCTGATGTCTGGATTTGACCTTATAAATGTTGAAGAGAAGTAAATGTGTTTGATGAGTTATTAAGCACATGCTTCAGTTACGATAATAAAAAACAGCTCTGTCTTACAAAGCTGTGAAGGACTTTATTTCTTAACAATTTGATTGCACTCGCACTGAGTTATAATAAGCCATTAATCTCAGCGTATGACATAGTACTTTTATGTAGATTTAGAAAAGCGATCCACATTTCCTTTTATCCCTTTGTTTATGTGATAATTTTCAAATGCTACCTAATAGGGAAAGGGCAAGAGCACCCATCTGCTGATTCACTCCCCAATTGTGTACGAAAGCCAGGAACGAGGAACTCAATTCTAAATTCACACATGGGTCACAGGAATGAAATTACTTGAACTATTACATTCTGCCTTCCAGCAGGTACATTACCACAAAGCTAGAATTAGGAGCTAGAACTGCCAGTTAAACTCAGACTGCCTAACTTCCATTGTTAACCACTTGACCAAATGCAAAGATCCAAGTTTGCATTTTAACCTAAACAAAAATAGTTAGCCTACTACAGAATTTCAACAAAATTCTGGAACTCAGAGAGAAATTAAGAAACTATTTTTATGTGTCTGCCAAGGCCTCCCTAGAGGAGGCCTCTGCTCCCAAGATCTGCTGTTAAGATGAATTTATGACCAAGGGATCCATCTAGTCAATTTAGTCATCAAGTCCTTCCAGAGATATAGCCCTAGGACTATTACATGTGTGTATGTTTTAGTAACTTCTTTAATATTTTTAGTTTATCATTATTGTTCATTGGTAAGCATTTGGATGGCAGAATGGGTTGCAAGGATAATGAGAACAGTAATTTAACAAATAGACATCAAAATTATTTTAGGGGACATAGTCATACTCAATTACAAAATGTACTTTTTAACTATAGTCATACTACTATTATTTATTATTTATAAGAATAGTTTTTGTAAGCCTGATTTATTATTACTTCTGTAAGGTAATGAAAGATGCTAGGGAGCATTTGTACTCATTTTGTTTAAAAAGTGGTCCTATGCATGTGCTGTGTAACACCTGGCAGAGCATGAAAGCATGGTAGAAGACTCATGAGAATGGCAACAGCATTGGCCAGTCACAGAGTCGGCTCTGCACACATACTTCCAAACACACCATTCTGAGTCTTCACAGCAGTCCTGAGGGCTCTTTTCATCTGCTTCTACAGCTGAGGAAATCAAGGCTTAGGCAGTTTAATAAATGCATGAGTGAATTAGTATGTGGTAGAGCCACAGTTCAAACTCAGGATCTTAGACTTCTGTTCCCATGCTGTTTAACTAATAGGGAGGCTAAAAGATTATGAACTAAATAGAAAAAAAAAAAAACAACAACTCCCATAACAAAAAAAGTATTAATAGGCTACAATTTATTAGCATGCCAGACACTAGACTAGATGCCCTAAGGAATTTATATCCATTATCCTAATAAATGGCTCAAAAGGGTTCATTCATGTCAAGTTTTCCAAATGAATTGGAAATTAATATTATTCCCATTTGCCTTATGAAAAATGTGTGATTCAAATGCATCCAGTAGACG